AAGCAGGCTCCGGCTGAGCAGGGATTCCGATGTGGGGCTTGATCCCAGGACCCTGGTATCATCACTTGAGCTGAAGGCAGACACTTAACAAACTGAGCCACCCAGGCACCCTAGAATTGGCTTTTTAATACATTTTTTCCTACTATATAGCTTTGTAATGCTGCTTTAAAAATTTTTTTTTAAAGATTATATTTATTTATTTGACAGATCACAAGTAGGCAGAGAAGCAGGCAGAGAGAGAGGAGGAAGCAGGCTCCCCGCTGAGCAGAGAGCCTGATTCAGGACTCGATCCCAGGACCCTGGGATCATGACCTGAGCCGAAGGTAGAGGCTTTAACCCACTGAGCCACCCAGGCGCCCCTAAAAATTTTTTTTTAAGGTTTATTTATCTTTAGAGAGAGAGAGAGAGTGAGAGGTGTTGGGTGTATGGGGGGAGGAGCAGAGGGGGAGGATCTTTGAAGCAAACTTTGTGCTGAGTGAGGAGCCCCTATGCAGGGCTTGATCCCACAACCCCTGAGATCATGACCAGAGCCAAAACCAAGAACTGGATGCCTAAGCAACTGAGCCACCCAGGTAAACTTTAATTTTTTTTTTTTTTTTTTTTTAAGTGATCTCTACACCCAACATGGGGCTAAAACTCAACAAACCCGAGATCAGTCAAGAGTCACACGCTCCACCGGTTTAGGCAGACAGGTGCCCCATTCCACTAGATAGCTTTGATGTCATTCTGAGTGAGGCCTTCAGAGAGTAGTCTCTCTGTGAGGAAAAATTCTCCCTGTCAAAATCTCTCTCTGTCAAATAAATAAATAAAATCTTAAAAAGAAAATTCAACTGGGAGAAGTTGAAATCTAATTGGCTTTATTAATTGATTCATGAATTGGACATCACCCATTTTTTTTTTTTTTTTAAAGATTTTATTTATTTATTTGACAGAGAGAGATCACAAGTAGACAGAGAGGCAGGGGGAGAGAGAGAGAGAGAGAGAGAGAGAGAGGGAAGCAGGCCCCCCGCTGAGCAGAGAGCCCGACGCGGGACTCGATCCCAAGACCCTGAGATCATGACCTGAGCCGAAGGCAGCGGCTTAACCCACTGAGCCACCCAGGCGCCTGGACATCACCCATTTGCCAAGTAGAGGGGAGTTCAGAGGAGAGGGCCATGTTACAGGCTGTTACCTCATCGATGCTGACCAGAAAATTCCTGATTGGTTAAAACTGCATTTCTGGAAGTGGTTGCAAATTTAAGTAGGTTAGATTCCTGGTTTTGGTGACTTGTCCTACCATGTGCAACTCCATTTTTGGCCTGTGGTTTTCGTTTTAGCACTGACAAAGTAAATATTTCTGGAAAATTACTTAAAACTTTGAGTACCCTTCACTCTTCTTGTAAGTATAATATGCAGTAGCAATTGTTGACACAAAAATACTCAAGTAGATTTTGCCAAGGAGAATAGATGAGAAAATATAAATTCTCATTTAAAAATTATTACTAAAATGATAAGTTACCTTACAGTTTTTTCAAAGACTTCGGGAGCTAGAAGTTTTAGTTTTCCACTTCACATGTTACAGCTCTCAGTCTGTTCTGTTATTCATTTGTGTGGAAGGCCTCTACACATGATGGTGGCTGATAGCCTTGGTTCCCATAGTACAAAAGGTAACTTTACATTTCACTTAAAATGATAAAGTAACATTTGCTATCAGATTATGAAATGCCTTTTCTGGAAGAAGGTACTATTAATATTTGAAAATAAGCTTTGAAAAAAATATAAAACGAAAGATACTGTAATGTTTGAAAATATGCTTTGAAAAAATATGAAATATACCATTTCAAGATAAGTCTATGTCGAACTTAAATGGATTCCAGTAAAACTGTAACTCAGAAAAATCTAACCATAACAAAAATTTCCAGTAACAGATTATTATAGTAAGAAAAGTGAGCAGTGTATGTGACTGTTAATGGGCACCAGGTTTAATAGAATGGACATTAGCTTTTGCATTACTATTTAATTGTTCAGTTACCTTAAAAGTGTTGCATTAAGCTATGAATGTTTTGCCAAAGAAAAAACTTAAAATTTTTTTTTTTATTTTTTAAAGTATGTATTTATTTGACAGAGATCACAAGTAGGCAGAGAGGCAGGTAGGGGTGGGAAGGTGGGGGGTGGGGAGGGGAAGCAGGCTCCCTGCTGAGCAGAGAGCCCGATGTGGGACTTGATCCCAGGACCCTGAGATAATGACCTGAGCTGAAGGCAGAGGCTTAACCCACTGAGCCACCCAGGCGCCCCCAATTTTTTTTTTTAAACAGTTTTTTTCCTTTCTCCAGGTAGGAAGGATACAAGTTAGATATTTTTCAAAAAAACCTTAAAAACACATTTTTTTTAAAGATTTTTACTTATTTGTTAGAGTGCCATCACAAGCAGAGGGAGAAACAGGCTCCCTGCTGAGCAAAGAGCCCGATGCGGGGCTCGATCCTTAGGACCCCAGATTCATGACCTGAGCCAAAGGTAGACCCTTAACCAACTGAGCCACCCAGGTATCGTAAAATTTTTTTAGGGATGAATTATGCAAGATAATTGTGTGTGAAGACAAACTGATGAATGTGAAGGCAAATCTCTACCCATATTGAAAGGGCAGACAGTCTGCTGCTTGCTTAAATTATAATAGTACTGTGATTCTGTATGAAAATTAGGAACTGTCTGCAAATCTGTGACAGTAATAAATCAAAATATACAATGTATATGGGAGCAACAAATTCTAATTAGAAATATTTTAGTACATTGAAGATCAGTTTCTCTTTAAAAAATCATGAAAAAGATGCTCATGCTAGTTAATAATTGATTCTAAGGACGTCTGGTTGGCTCAGTGGGTTAAAGCCTCTGCCTTCAGCTCAGGTCAGGATCTCAGGATCCTGGGATTGAGCCCCACATTGGGCTCCCTTCTCAGCGGGGACCCTGCTTCCCCTCCCCTCCTTCATCTCTGCTTACTTGTGATCTCTATCAAATAGATAAATAAATTTAAAAAATAATTGACTCTAAACCTCATTGAACATTAGGAAGCTATGTTAATGTGACTTAGTATACAGAAAGGAATCTTTGAGAATAAGGAAATGAGAACAAAATGAATTTTATTTACTTATCATTTATTTATTTACTTCATTTATTTATCAGAGCACAAGTAAGGGGGAGTAGCAGACTTCCAACTGAGCAGGGGTCCTGATGTGGGACTCCATCCTAGGGATCATGACCTAAGCTGAAGGCAGATGCTTAATGGACTGAATCACCTAGGCATCTCAGAATGAAATGAATTTTAGAATATTTTTACGCCCCCCCCCCCCCGCCCCCTGCAAGAACAAGCGAAAACCAAGTCTGTACCCATTAGCAGTCATTCCCTATTCCTCACACTTCTACCCTGGTCCCTGGGCAACAACCAACCTTCTGTCTGTCTCTGTGGAATCATCTCTTCTGCATTTCATATAAATGGAATCCTACAATATGTTGTTTTTTTGTGACTTTCATTTAGCTGTTTTCAGGTTTCATACATATTAAAGTGTGTCTCATGTTTCTCTCCTGTTGCTGCTGGGTAATATTTCATTATATGGATCAAAAACTTTCTGTTAATCTATTGAGTTAATGGATATTGGAGTTGTTTTCAGTTCGTTATGGATATCGCAGCTATGAACATTTATATTGAGGCTTTTGGCTGGACACGTTTCATTTCCCTGTGTGTATACTTAGGACTGGGATTTGGTCGGGTGGTAGCTCTGTTAACCCTTTTGAAGAACTTTCAGACTGGTTTTCAGAGCGTCGTTTTACATTCCCACTAGCAGTGGAGGAGGGTTTTAATTTCATGTTCTGGCCAACACCTTTTTTACTCCCTGTGCCCCCAAACAAAAAACAAACAAAACCTCTGTTTTATTCTTACCAAGTGGATACCATTCTTCTAGATATTCTTGTTACAGGTGTTTATAAACACTTCCCTAATTGTATGGCAAAAGAACTATCACATCCAGTCCCTGAAATAACACTCTTCTCAAACAACTTTTTTCCTCCCCCCATCTTTATTGAAATCAAATTGACACATTAACATTGTATAAATTTATAGTGTACAGTGGCCAACACTTGTTATTTTTGATTGTAGTCATACCGTGGGTGGGCGTGAAGTGCTGTTTTGTCTTGGTTGTGATTTGTGTGTTACTGGTGGGCAGTGATATGGAGTATCTTAGTATTGGCTATTTGGATATATTTTGGGGAGCAGTGTCTGCTCAGATACTTAGCCTATGTTTAAACTGGATTACTTGTCTTTGTATTACTGAGTTGTAAGAATTCTTTATACATATATATAATATATATATATATAAAAATCCCTGATTACATTTGCAAATTTTTTTTTTTTCTTGTTCTGTGGGTTGTCTTTTTACTTTCCTCATGTTGTCCTTTGCAGGAATAAATTTTGATGAGGTCCATTGTATCCAAGTTTTCTACTGTTGCTTGTGCATTTTTTGTAGTCACAGTTGGAAGATCCATTCAGAGTCTAATTTCTCATGGTCAGAATTGGATCTTAAAGCATCATACGATTAATACAGTTCTGATTACTGTGTGTACCTAGTTTTGTTCTTTCTTCTTAACATTTTTTTTGGTAAGATTTTATTTATTTGTTGGAGAGAGAGAGCACAAGCAGGGGATGTGGCAGACAGAGGGAGAAGCAGGCTCTCCCTGCTGAGCAGGGAGCCTGATGCAGGACTCAATCCTAGAACCCTGGGATTATGACCCGAGCCGAAGGCAGACGCTTAACCAACTGAGCCATCCAGGTGTCCTTCTTAACATTTTTATGTATAAATTTCCTTCTATTGATACTGCCCATGCTGCATTTTTTAAGAGTTATATCATGTTTTGTTGTTGTATTATAATTTACATAGTCATCCTCTTGCTTGTTTTTCAACTTCATGATTTAAATAGTGCTGGTTAATAGCTATATCCATCAACTTAAGAGCTGCCTTGTTTTCTTTCCTTAGGTAGGATTAACTTAAAACAGTTGATGGCAAAGAAGATACAGTTGACAGCAGAGGCAGAGGTAAGTAGTAGCTTCCTGTTCTGAAATAAGAATGTAGAGTTAGGGTAAGGGATTTTGTTGAGAAAGTGTTTGATGCTCTGTTGCTTAAAGAATAATTTACCTTCCTTCTCAGTTCTATCCTGCCACTTCTGTCGTCCTACACGTAAGAACCCGATTGCTTTTTTCTCCCCATCCTGCCCACCACTCTCAATTTTCTGGCTTTTATTTATTTAAAAAAAATTTTTTTTTTTTTAAAGATTTTTAGCTTCTTCTATGAGAACGAGAGAGAGAGAGAACATGAGCGGGGGCAAGGCAGATGGAGAGGGATAAGCAGTCTCCCATCTGAACAGGGATCCTGATGTGGGGCAGATCCTAGGACCTCAGGATCATGACCCCAGTGGAAGGCGCTTGACTAACCGAGCCACCCAGGTGTCCCTCATTTTCTGGCTTTTACCAGCAGAACTTGATTTTAGTGAACTGTGATATAGTTGAATGTCTGTACAAGTGCTATAATGAAAGGTTCTGTCACCACCTGTCATGGTTTGTAGTGAATAATGGCTCAGCAGTAAATCTAAAAGTGGATTCCTGTTGTTAGGGAGGGTATGGCTTGAGCAGAAGTATGGAGGTAGGAAGTTTAGACTATCTCTTGGAAATGTCGCTTCAGTTGATCGGCATCTGTGCTCCTGTTAGAGCGTGACAGAAAGAAAAATACAGTTGGACAACTGGGGCTAGATTGTTAAGCATTTTTTCCCTTCTGTCTTCATGCCCTCTTCATAAAGCTCTTTCTTCTTGAAACTTGTAACTTCTGTTTCACTAGTCAGAATACTGCATATCCATTAAATTCTAGCTCAAATGCTGCTGCTTCTGTAGTTGCTAAGTACCAGCCTGAAATGGTGTCCTTCCTTCCTCCTTTTTACTTCTAATCACCAAAATTTTTTTGGTGAACTTACAGACTTAGGAATGTTTTAATTGGTAATTTGATATCTAATGAGATTGAACATCCTACCATTGTTTATTAATTGGAATGTTTTTGAGGGAGATATATTAGGAATGCTATTTTGATAGCAAAGTTGAAGATAATGTTTGGACTTTGGAGATGAGACAAGATAGGAAGCTATTGTAATATTCTAGTATTCTAGATAGGGTAAATGGGCAGGGAGGAGAAGGGAACTCCATTTAGCAGTCCTGTTATGGGCTAGGCCGTGTGCTAGGTGGTTTACATGCAAAATTTAATTAAATTACCTGATTTACAAGGTTGATCTCTAAATGATTACATTCGTTTTTTTATGGGTTGATATTTACTAATGTGAAAGGACCATTGAGGTTGACAGTATGTGAATATTATTTGGAGACCATGAAATGTACTTGTTCTTCTCTTTTGTGGGCTTTTAGAAATAACGGTGTTTCTTTTTTCAGAGAGGAAGAGGGGCAGGGAGGATCAGAGGGAAAAGGAGAGAGAATCTTAAGCAGGCTCTGTGTTGGTGAAGACCCCAAGGCGGAGCTTGATCTTAATACCCTAAGAGTGTGACTTGAGCTGAGATCAAGAGTTGGTTGCTTAACCAACTGAGCCACCCAGCTGCCCCTAGAAATAATTTTTAAAACAAATGAAAATCAAAAATCTTCTTAGTCATTTGTAGTTTGAAGTCATGTTCTGACCCAGTTCTCACTCAACTAGGTTGGACCATCTTCCCCTAATCTTTTTTTTTTTTTTTTAAGATTTTATGTATTTATTTGACAGAGATCACAAGTAGGCAGAGAGGCAGGCAGAGAGAGAGAGGGAGAGAGAGGGGAAAGCAGGCTCCCTGCTGAGCAGAGAGCCCGATGCGGGACTCATCTCAGGACCCTGAGATCATGACCTGAGCAGAAGGCAGCGGCTTCCACCCAGGCGCCCCTCCCCTAATCTTTAAGGTGAAAACATGGTTCTGACTATCTCCAGGGTTCTGTTCAGCTCCAGTAGTCTGCGTCATTGCATAACTAATCTAAACTTCTGCTCCTAACTCACTGTTTCCTGGTGTCAAGGAAATGGATAATCTGTAGATTTTATTGGGGAACTCTTTCAGCTCCCCAGAACTGGAATTCTCAGATAAAATATAGTATACTTAGCAAATTTGAATTTCAGATAAATAATTTTTTAGTTATCATGCAGCATTTGAGATATAATTATACTAAAAAGGTCATTTGTTTATCAAATTCACATTTAACTGAGTGTCCTATATGCTTATTTGCAAAATTTGGCAACCAACAAAGAACTTTCTAAAAGTTGAGATATAGATAGAAGAGCTCGTATTAAAGAAAGGTGTGGAAAGGTTGTCAGGTATGAAACTCTAGACTGAAGGGAAGACAAATGACAGAGAGGATGATGAAATTCGTGAGTTGAACTGATTGAATCTGTTAAGGTCATGTCTAGGTACAAATGCTGTCTGTCATTAAAAAAGTTTTAAGTATTGAATTTAAAAAATCCAGTGCTAGTCATATTATACAACATTATGTATTTCTTTATTATTATTATTATTATTATTTTTAAAGATTTTATTTATTTGTTTGACAGAGATCACAAGTAGGCAGAGAGGCAGGCAGAGAGAGAGGAGGAAGCAGGCTCCCCGCGGAGCAGAGACCCGCCCCCCCTCGCCCCCCGCCCCCCCCACCCCCGATTCGGGGCTCGATCCCAGGACCCTGAGATCATAACCTGAACTGAAGGCAGAGGCTTTAACCCACTGAGCCACCCAGGTGCCCCCATGTAATTCTTACTCATGACCTTTTGAAGTCCTTAGAATTGTGTTATAATAAGACTTAAAAGCTCTTGCAACAGTCCAAGGGAGATTCAAGTGATTAAATCCCAACCAATTTACTGTTAATAGATAAATTAACTTTGTTTTAACATTGTGTTAATGAAACGATTTGAAACCGTTTCTTTGGTTGTAAATAAAAGAAACCTACTTCTGGCTTAAGGATAAAAGGAAACATTTGAAAGATATTAATGTATCTCATAGAACCCCAGAAGTTGAACACTTACGTTTTGGAAATGGAAAGGCTTTAATAGCAAGAGTTCATGTATTTCTGAATTTTTCCGTTAATCAGATTTTCAGTCTCCTCTCAGAGTTTCAGATTTATGAGAGAGAGAGAATTGGGTTTTGGCCAGAAAGGCAGGGCCATATAGTATCGCCCTGGTCTAACCACCGAGGACAGTTTCTGAGAAAAGCGCGTATGAGAAGAGTTAAAAGGGAGTGCCTTGATACTATGAATATTTGTAGAACTTTCATTAATTCATACAACTTTATAGAGGGAATGCTAGATCTAATGTGAGGGGATGAAAAATTACTTCCTATTTCTATTTCTTAAAAACACATATTTATTGCAACATACTTCATTTCCTTCTGGTGTGGCATTTAAGATCCTATTTGATACATCAGTACCTTATGCTGTTGCCTAACTATTAAATGAGCAAACCATAATGAGTAAGGCTCAGATGGCATGTCTGCAAATGAGGACTTCTCTTTATGGTTTATTGCTCATCCAAGTAACCTCTTCTAAAAAAGTGAGTGGTTAGATAGTGCCAATCTATTTGATTTATTGGCAGACTGCTGGAGCGACAAGTCTCTTAAGTTGTTCCTGCCCAGAAATTGTTTGGTTATTATGTACGTTGAGGTTAGGTTGTGCTGTAGGAGACTAACATAAGATGAACACAAATAATTGTGGCTTTGTGTAATGCCCTTCCATGTAAATGATTTAGAACTGGGAAGGCTAGAATGGTTACGGTGACTCTGTGGTCCTCCCAGGACCCTGGTCCCTTCTGCCTCTGTGCTTTTGATTTTGTAGGCTGTGACCTTCCTATTCATTGTCCAGATGACTCCAGCCACTTCATCTGAGTTTGAGGGAGCAGGCCTGAGTTAGGAAAACAAGAAAGGGTTGATAACTAACAGCCTCTACTACAACTTGTCCATTCTCCTTCCCTGCCCTTGATCCTTCTGGTCAAGTCTTCTTTTGACTGTGTCCACGTGATTGTATCCTTCTGATACCTCCCTTTCTGGCTTTTTCCATTTTGCTTAAATACGTAGGTATATCAGTCTCTACTTTCCTTTGATGAACCTTGGGAAAATCAGTTTATTGTTCTTTATGATTTCATCACTTACAAATGCAGGAAGGTGCCTGTCAGTATTGCCCTCTTAGGAATGTTCAGTAATCTAGCTCCATGAATAACCTACTTGGTTCCTTTGTCAGGTACTGTGTTAGGTGCTGGGATTCTAAAGAAGTCACAGTTCCTGTCCTCATGTTAGCTGAGAACATCATGTATAAAATGGATAAAAAGAGGAACAACAACTGAATTAGATACTTCAGAAATGTTCTTTGAAAGCTGAAAAGCGATGTCGATGTCAGTGTAGGTTGGTATTTGTGATAAGAAATTACATTATTTTAGAGCTTTATTGAGGTCCTTACATGTGGTAGTTAACTCTCTATTTTACATTAATGAGAATCCAAAATATCAAAACTAGTCAGATGGTGATACTATGTATTTCGCTGATTGAGGGACATTTTGGTTCTGCCCCACCCCCAATATTTTGTTTTCCTTCTTCATTGTATACACAGATTCACGTGGACAGTGTAGACACATCTAGGCTTATACCGCATAAGTCTTAATGGCAAAAATAGCATCAATTCATATGTCCAGTTACATATTTTTACACATTATTTTGTGGTATTTTTTTTGTGTTAAAATAATTTTTGAAAATGTGATATAAAATGATTTTGCAATCATTTGTATGAATGTATCATTCATTAATTACTAGGAATGTACTTTTACTACTCTCTGGTTTTCTAACATTTAACAATGACTGAGTGAAGGAGGTTGGTAAAGATGATGAGAAATGGCAGAATATATCAATCAGGTAAGATGGGGAGCTCCCTGAATAGATGAAAATAAATGTGTCAGCTTAGTTCGTATTGTTAATAATGTGATATCAGGAATATTGTAGTCTGACTTAAGCTGGGAGACAGCTCTGGATGTATTTTATTTTATTATTTAT